CTTCCGATCTCCCCAAAACCCCAAAACCCCAAAACCCCTATTGACTGAATTTATTTAAAAATTTTGAATAGGGAAAATAATAGCATAAATCTAATTTAATAGCAATTAAAATAAATACCTTTGAATCATATTTGATGAAATTAATATAGTTATAACAATTCAAAGAGGATTTTTCCTGGGCCTTCCTTTACCTCTTTTAGCCTTGATTCCTTTCTTTGAATGAAGTTTATTGGTAATTTTAGATATCTCAATTTTTTATTTTTTGACTGATTTATCGCTGTTGTCAGATTTTTAAGTTGACTGTTCTTCACTCTAACTCAGTATAATCTTTTCTTCATCCTCTTTTTCTAAACTTACTTGCGAGAATAAATACTACTTTTTAGCAGCCTTAACAATTGGTTTAGTCTTAGGCTTAAACTTGAAATCATCCAAATTTTCTTTTTTCACCAAGGTTGTTTATGATAAGGATTGAAGATCACCGCCTAGTAATTAGTTATTCTCCTCCTTAATTATATCAAATATATGCTTAGTAGGAACCGGATCTAAATCTATTCCTCCATAGAGTGAATCTATATTCTTAAGTTGCATTTCTTTATATGACTGCAGCATTTCTTACTCAATTTTATACCATTACTCATCACTCAAATCGTTCTACTATTCATCTTATTCTTTTTTAATAATTAACTCATCATCATCTTCTTATTTTATCTCGATTTCCTTTTATGGATTGTTCTTGTCATCCTCAATTGATTAGAGTCATAACCTTTGGAGATGCTTGAGTACTTCAAGGTTGACTAAGGGGCAAAATTCTTCTTACATTTGTTCAAATATTTCAGCATCACTTCTTCTGATAAATCGGTTTTGTTAACTGGACTACATTTTTATATACTATGAAGTAAGTCTTATATTGAACAATCAAGTCAATTTATTGGAGTGCTATCTGATTGTTTACTGCAGAATTGGACTAAACTCAGCTTACTTATTTAGTTAGTTTTAGTTATTATTAATTTTAAAATCTATGAGATTGCAGTATGATGTTGAAGATGACGGAGGAGGAAATAAGGATAAAAAGAAAAGATCAAGTAAGGAAGAAGAAGATGATGACTAACTTAACCTCTAGAGCTCAGGTAACGACGATGACTCTGATAGTGAGATGAATAATAATTATTTTAACTATCAAGACAAGAAAAAAAGTGTTTATACACAAAATAACTAATCATTTAAAACGAATCAAGAGTAATAACTGCCTTGAAAAACGTTTGGAAAGAGTTCAAGATTTTTCTCTGAATTTGCAAAGAGTGATATGAATGATGAAGAAAATAAAATAAGATATCTGAAGCACATTGATTGTAAGTATTCAATATCTTTTAATTATTAGTAAGGGAAGATAAATTAAATGCATAAGAAAAAATCACAGTATACTAAACTGAAGTCTATTTTCCTTTTAGACCATATCAGTAGCAAGTAGATTATATGTCTAAAGTAATTGAGGCCTGCTAAAAAAGTTCAAATGCCCTGTTGGAAAGTCCCACTGGAACAGGTAAAACTTTGTGCTTACTTACAGCAAGTCTTTCTTGGCTTAAAAAAATTAGGGAAAGTAATGAATTAGATGAAGATGAAATGCCAAGGATTATTTATTGCTCTAGAACTCACTCATAAATTTCTTAAGTAATGAATGAACTAAAACACACCGCCTATAAACCAAAAGTATGTTTGATTGGTAGTAGAGATTAACTTTGTGTAAATCCTACTGTAAATTAGCATAAAGGAATGGCGCTTAATTCTCAATGCAAAAAGGTAAGAGAACAGAGAAAAGACTCCCCCCACTGTTGTACATATTTCAAAAATACAGGTGACTCTGTAACACCAAACGGATTCAAATGGGATATTTAAGATGTTGAAGATCTTCATAAACTTGGCTCATCATAAATAGTGTGTCCTTATTACCTTCAAAAATCTCGTATTTAATACTCAGATCTAATCCTCATGCCATACAACTATTTAATTGATCCAAAGATTAGAGAAAACTTTAAAATAAATTATGAAAACTCAATAATTATTATGGATGAAGCTCATAATGTCGAAAGAGTAGCTGAAGATGTGGCAAGTTTTGAAATTCATATCAACCAACTTCACACAGTATTAGGTGAGCTAAATGATTTTGAAAAGGTAGTTAAAACTACAATATAGTAAGTTAAAATTTAAACTTATTTTTTAGGGAAAATCCAGACTCGACTTTGTTAGCTAATATATTAGAGATTATAACTTTGACACAGAATTTTTTGAACTTTTTGAAATAGTTTAACATAAAAAATTCAAAAAGATTGAAAATACAAGAGATAAAAGAATCAGATGGAGTTTATGATGGAAATGAAATATTTAATTTCTTCTTTGAAGGATCAAGATGTAAAATTCTATCTTTTTATATTTTTATAGTCAAAGATTATCGTGAATATAGAGGCTTATCTAATTTTGAGGGTTTAAAGCCCACTAACTTTGGCCATTGGACTTACATATTTGAAAAAGTTATGGCTGGGCTAACAGAAAGTAACTAATATATTATTGCTAATTATGATAGAATAAAATGGGAGACCTTGTTTAGAAAGATGGTGGGATGCGTTAAAGAAAGTGATGAGACTTTATCAAATGATATATGATAATTAGAACTAATCAGGATACGAGTAATATTTTTATATCATAAAAATTATGGTTTAGAAACGAATTAAAGGATGAAATCAATCATTATTATGTATATATGAGACAAGAAGATGTTGAGTTTGATAAAAAGAGGAGTTATTCTGAGTAAGAAAAAGAGAATAGGATCAGAAGTGCTAGATCTTTAGGTTTTTGGTGCTTTAATCCTGGCTTAGGTTTTAAAAAGATAGTCAACTTAAAGCCAAGAACACTTATCCTGACTTCTGGTACTTTATACCCAATGAAATCATTCTCAAAGGAATTGATGATGTAAGTTTCTCAATTTTTATTATTTTGCAGGGATTTTCCGATCACAATTGAAAATAAGCATGTCATTTAAAAAGAATAAGCAAGTATTAGTATTTTAACGAGAGGTGTATAAGGAAACCAATTAAATTTTGCTCACAAATTCAGAGAATTAGAAACTCCAATTAAGGATTTGGGTGAAACATTAGTTTAAATAACTGAAAAGACTCCAGGAGGTATGCTGATATTTTTCCCATCTTATCAAGTATTGTCTAAATTCTATGAATTGTGGGAATAAAATGGAATAATAAAGAAATTTGAAAGATTTAAATCAGTCCTCCAAGAACCTAGAGATTCATCTCATTACAAGTTTGTAATTACTGCATTTTATGAGAAAGTTTATGAAAGAGGAGCTATCATTTTTGCAGTATGTAGAGGCAAAATAAGTGAAGGTCTTGATTTCTCAGATGATGCTGCCCGATGCGTGATAATTATTGGAATCCCTTATCCAATGACTTTAGATCCAAAAACTATATTAAAAAAGCATTACCTAGACAAGGAGAATAACAAATATACTAGCAGAAATACTAACTTTAATGGCTAATAATGGTATTGTTAATAAGCCACAAGGGCAACAAACTAAGCGATAGGCAGAGTTATAAGGCATGTGTAAGACTATGGAAATATAATTCTTATTGATGAAAGATTTGATACTCCGTAATAAAGATAATAAATAACTAGTTGGCTAAGAGATAGTGTCAAAGTTTATTCAGATGCATTTGAAGCAATAAGAAATTATGAACTGTTCTATGCTGAAATGAAAAAAAGGAACTTTGTTCCTAAAGTTAAATAGCTTGGCTAAGTTAAACTTGACTTTCCTGAAATTGATGACGACTTAAATTTGAAAGATACGGTAGATGAATTAAAAAGAAGAGCTAAAGAGGAATCAAAGTAAGCTTAAAAGAAAAGACTACATAATGATTGTGAATAAAATAAAAATTTTACAAGCAGCAATCCTCTACCGAATAAAAGAGTAAGAACGGATGCTAAGTGATTGAATAATATGCTCTTTATTAAGGAGACTTTTCAGCTTTTAAATTCAAGATGCAATGAAGCAAATTTGCAAATTCAAGAGATATTTGACATCAAAAAAGCTTTAGGGACTCCTATTCTACTAAAACTATTTAAGCAATTCCTTTAATTATCTCTTGGGGATTAGCATGCTTACAGAAAAAGATTTAAGTCTTATTTGACAATAAAGGATCAATCAAATTCAACCAGAAATCATATTTACATTTGTAGGCAAATACTAGAAACTTTATTTCAACAGGTAGAGCTGACAGAGGAAGAAAAAAATGAGGCTACATATGCTTCATCAGATGAAGAAGATTTAAAATAGTAATTCGAGCTCAATTACATGATGCATCTCAAAAAGTAACTTCTAGCATTCTTCATCAAAAGAATAGACTCTTATTAAGCATAGCAAGATTTCATTGTAATGATAAGTGGCTATCTTGAAAAATATAATGCATCAATTGAACAAAAAGATGATCCTTCAGCAATAAAACTAGATTCAGATCTAATTAAATCATAATTATCTCAAGCTAAAACCTATGCTTAATAAATAAATGAAAAAATTTTTCAATAAAAACAGAAGAAAATTGAGAAATAGTCACAGAAATAAGTAAAGAAGCTAGTAAAAGTATCTTAAAAATAAAAAAAGAAGAAAAAAGTAGACTCTGAAGATGATTATTAACCGACACCATCAAACTCGAGTGATCGAACTTTACATACAGATAATGAAGAGAGTCTAAATAGTGAAGAAAATAAAGAGTTATAAGAATTGAACAAAGATATTCAATGATAAAAAACTTTAGAAGAATAGGTGATGGAAGCTAATGATGAGGAAGAAGAGGATATAGAAGATTATAATGAAGAGTAAATAGCACAAATAGCCAATTTTCAAGATGACTCATCCTAAATGGTATCATAAAATTAGGGCTATAAAATTTAAAAGACCCCTTAGGAATAGCAGAATTCTTTTTTACAGCTTTTTAAGACAGTGACTGGCACAAAATTTCCATCAAATAGCATAATATAAGATTAAATCGACGAAGAATAAATTGAAGATGATAATGATGATGAATAGCAACTAATAACACCTAAGAAAAGAAAATGAAAGGTAAATAAAAATAAAGGTAAAAGGGATTGCGTGTCCTTCGGCAGAATGCTCAACACTATACCTTAAGAGAATTACAATCCTGTAAACATTAAAAAAGAATTATTTGCAGCACCTTCTAAGAAGTCATTTTTAACATTAGCTCTTGAATAACCAACATTAGAATCATAAAAGAAAATTGAGGAACTTGTTCAATGGGATGCTGCCTTTAATGCTGTAAATCAATAATATCAATAGAAATTCAGAAGAAAAATTAGAAATAAAGTGTAGCCAAGCCTAGATTAATTAGAGGCTACACCAAAGATATGCATAAGTGGTTTGAAAATGGATCATTCTCTTATTAAGAATAGTCTTTAAAGATATTAAGAGAAAAAACACGAGAATGAAACTCTCAAAAACAAAAGCGCATTTGGTTCTTATAAACAGTCAACAGATTTCAAAGATATATTTTTAACCAGATATCCAATGAATAATAATTAATTCTACTGATGCTTGAAATTGAAATATTTTATACACTTGGGGTTTTGGGGTTTTGGGG